CTAAACATTTCAGAACTCCTAGCTCCAAGGTTGCAATATGCATGTGCTTGAAGGACTTGCTAGCACTGAATTTGCTCAAAGACACCCATGCATTCGACGTTCCCTCTAGGATCTTGTGGACGGGCGTGATTTCTTTGCCCCTTGTTAGGCCTGTTTTTGTTGATGTTGTTTATGTCGCTTCCCTTTAGTAGTTTTGGGCTTTTAGGGGAAGTTTGAAAAGTCTTGCCGAGTCATATGGCCTCCCCTCACCTCGCTGGGTAAGGCTAGCCTTGCTAGCAGAGGTGAACCGAATTGGCTGGCTTGCTCGGGCGAGAAAAAGCCTGGAAAGTGTAGATAATGAGAAGACCTTGTAAACAACCACATATCTAATTTCTAGCTGAGTAAGGCAAGCTCAGCGCTGCCTAGCTACCAGACATGCCCTTAGTTGTCGGTATTCTTTCAGGCGTCTTTGTGTATCTCTTGTCGTTGTTGTATTGTCTATTCAGGGCCTAACCATTTCTTTACTATTATGTACTCCTGTCCATTTTTTAATACTCGACGCCAAAAGTTCCCTTTTTGTTTGGTAAAACTTGTCACCGGACTTTTTTCAACTTTGTCCTTTTTGGATCCCACAAAAGATAGCTTCTCTTTGGTGATTAGAAGATTCTAGGGCTTACACCCTAGCTATATGTCGCTTCGCTTTAGGGCATGTTTGGATCTTCTCAAATTCCACAATCTAGCTTCTAGAAGCTGTGATGGTATCTAAATGTCCGCCAACTTCATAAGCCAGCTTCCACAATCTCAAAAGCTAAATGAACTTAGCATCTATCAGCTTCTGAAAATTATGATGGATCCAAATGTAGCCTTAGTAGTTTTGGGCTTTTAGGGGAAGTTTGGAAAGTCTTGCCGGGTCATCTGGCCTCACCTCACCTTGATGGGTAAGGCTAGCCTTACGAGCGGAGGTAAGCTGAATTGGCTGGCTCGCTTGGCCGTGGAAAAGCCTAGAAAGTGCAGATAACGAGAAGATCTTGCTTGTGAACCGAACAACCACATATCTAATTTCTAGCTGAGTCTGCATCTAATTTCTAGCTGAGTCTGCATCTAATTTCTAGCTGAGTGAGCGAGCCCAATGCTTGCCCAGCTACCAAATATGCCTTTAGATGTCGGTATTGTTTCAGTTACCTTTGTCTCTCTTGTCGTTATTCTTGTTGTCGTTACATTGTCAATTCTAGGGCTAACCACTTCTTTACTAATATATACTTCCCTCCATTTTTAAATACTTGATGCCAAAAGTCACCTTTTTGTTTGGTAAAACTTGTCGCTGAACTTTTTTCTCTAATTTTGTCATTTGTGGACCCCACAAAAAGGTAGCTTCTCTTTGGTGATTAGAAGATTCTAGAGCTTTACACCTTGTTATACATATGTATTTAGAATGTTCTAACCACTACTAATAATTAGACAAAGGGGCATTGTAGTAATTTTGAATAAGAAAAATGTATGCATTGGTTTGCATGTTTTGGTCATGGGTATCAAGTGTTTGAAAATGAAGGAAGTAATAGGAACCTCTCTTCCTCTCTCACAAAAAAGAGCACCTAGCTCTCTTGCATGTCCTTTAAAAGAATCTCCTACCTCCCATGTTTGGGATTGGATATACTCTCTTTTTCCAATATAAGGAATCTGAATTTTTCCAAAGTCAATCTATTTAAAATTTGACCAAATTTATAGATAAGATTATTAACATGTACCATACCAAAGAGATAAATTATCAAACTATATTTTATAATGTATTTGTTAATTTGATGTCTTAAATAATTTAGTTCAAAAAATTGATGCCTTAAATATTATTATTCTTTACTATCAACTATTCAAATTTAGGACAACTTAAAGTCATAACTATTAGGAGCAGGCCAGACCTGTGGTTCAACCAAAAACGGACCTCCGCCAATTCAATCCAATTAACAGACCATGTGTGCAATCAACTAGAAAGAACCAATTGAACCGCTGGATTTTAGAGAGAAACTAGTGAAAAATGTGCAAGAAACCTCTGGCTCCATTCAGGTGGTCAAAAAATCAGAGAAAAAATAGTCTCTATGGGTGCGGAACCTATTCCCTACCCCGAGGCTATGTTGTAATTGTCTTGTGTTAAGTATGAAATATTTATTTTATTAAACCATATTAGACTGTTGGTTTAACCAGTTAACTGTGAACATAACCAATGTCCCTCTAGACAAAGAGAGTATACACATAACCAATGTCCCTCTATGCAATGATTTTATAGTATATCTTTGTTGACAAAATGGCATAAACATATATTTCAATTCTCAAGTAAATTTTTATTTTGGACATATTGACTTGCATATAAGATTATAATTTTTCATAATTTTTTATCATCACCCATGGTGTCATTGTGGCGTGCACGTGTCATTTCCTCTATCACATTTCTCATATCTCCTTTTGAAATCATAACTCGATAGTGAAAAGGTTTTGCTTTTTTAATTCAACCAATTTCGTTGTTCTAATGTGTGCACACGTCACGTAGTGGATCAATATGGAAAATACACAAGTAAAACGCCTTAACGCCTTATATTTCACAATTATATACTCATCCACAAATGTAAGTACTTCTAGCATATATAAGCATTTCTTGCATATCACCCCTCCTTTTCCTCACCATTCAATTGACAAACATAAACTAATTGCTTCATTGAGCAGCATCACGATCATTTTCCTGCCATATTAATCTGTCATAAAATTCTTAGAAATACTAACATTTAGGGATGGGGGAGTATTTGTTATGAAATGCAATGATTCCTATTCATTTAAATCTAAGGGGGCCGGGGAACAAGTAAAACATTTTTTGTGGGTACAACAAGCAAAACATTTGTGACAACAAAACAATATATATATGAGGATTAACAAATGATGTAGATCATGCATCCTCTACCGTAGAGATACAATGGGTTCGTGGATAAATCCTCTTGCATCCCTAGTCTACCGAGTGGTTCAGATTCTACATGTTGCAACTTTTGGGGCAAGGCGGAGTGACATTCACGTGAGTAGTCAAAATAGCAAGCGTCACTATAGATGGTCCATGAGTTGAAGATTTTATTCCTCACCGAGGTACACATTCCATGGATATCTTTTCCGGATGGAAGCATCACAAACATTTATGGCATGTACCACCCTACGCATATGCTTCTTCTATCTTCAAGGTCAACATCCAACGCATCCCTGTTTCATGTCTTTAATTACAATAGATAGCAAAGCATTCCCAAAAAATCCCAATGATTTTAGTATTAAATGTTACCGACCTTCTAGATCCTTTTTGGTGTTATGGTGGCGTCAATATCTCACATGTAAAAACTTAACCATCCAGTTTACTTAGCTAGTAGGGCAATGATTTACCATCGGGCAGTACCAAGCTGCTGATGATGGGCAGTTCTAAACAATCTGACTGTAATCAATTTTAGAAACAAATTAAATATTTCTAATGGGATTTATCTCCGAGGATCTCAAATGATTTGGCCTGGATATACCAATGTAATTTTCCAACGTAATTCACATGTTTATATAGAGATCTAAGCATTTATTCCAAAATATCTACTACATATCGATCTCTTACTATAGCTCTGTTTGACTGTTAATTAAAGAGTGGTTTACTAACAATTGGACTGTATCACTACCCCTCCACCGAATTTCACCACATTCAACACAGTAATAAAAACCTCTTTAGAGACAACCCAAGCAATCTAAGACCAATATCTCCTCAGTACATGTTCATGAACAGGGTTCAGAATTTCGGTCGGATTTCACTGTTATCAGATATTTTTCGAGTGAGATTTCATTTAGATTTTTAAAATTTAGTCAACATTTCACGGACGTAGTTTCGAAAAAATTGACTGAACTTTTTGAGAATTTTGTTCCTACCAATTCTCTCTGGTGTACTTGTGTCACAACCGAGAGGCCGAACCGTACCCTGCAAAATGATTGCATGAGCATGTGAAAACCAAGGTGTTTGCGGTTAATAATCAACATAGAGTGCATTGCCACGCTATCTGTATATATCCTCCACCATATATGCTTTCTATCTCTAAGGTCGATCTCTAGCATATCTGACTCTAAAGAAACAGCTAATAAGGATATGGAACTCCCATATCTGCACACGATACGCAACGATACGAAGGTATCTCTAAGGCCAGCCTCTGGTTGCAGACACGTATACGGTGTGCACACACATTTCATTAAAAAGGACATTCGGCGACATTTAACAACCAGCTAACACTAATAACACACGATGATTCGGAACTGGCTGGCATCCCACCCACCGTATGAGTGGGGGTGGTTTGGTCGCCTTACCTGGTTAGGCAAGAAACACAACCTCTTGCCAACTCAGGCAAGCCAAATATGCTCTCCTATGCTGGCAAGCCTAGCCTTGCCAAGCAAGGCGAGGTTACTTGGATGGGCAAAACAACCAAACGTGCCTGTAGTTTCCCTAAACAAAACGGCCGGTTAGCACTAACACGTGAAGCCGCATTGTGTCACCATATCTCCACCCGGTCCGCAGGCCGCGAGTGCAGGCGTGGAGTGGAGGGTCAAACCAGCAGGAGAGGGAGGGCCGTCGCCGGGCGCAATCAGACATGTCAGCGAGAGACGTGGGCAGCACCAGCGCAGGCCCGCGACCGTGATCAGGGTCGGACAGACAGGGACGACTCCCCCGAACCCCCCTGCGGGTCCCACGCATGCGCGGGCCCCACCTCCTGCCCCCAATCTACGCGCTTGTCTTAACCCCCACCCCACCCCACCCCCACACCCTTCTCTTCACGCACACCGTCGGCCGCTCGAGAGGAGAGCAGCAGCACGGGCAGCAACACCACACCGCCCTGCCCACGCGTTCGCTCGCTCGCTTCCTCGATCCCCCTTTGACCGCCACCGCCGTCTATCGGGACGCACCAGCACCGCCGGGCCGAACGCTCGCTCGCTCCCTAGGCCGTGTGCGCGCGCGCGTGGCCGCCCGGTTGACGATGGATCCTGTGGCGGCAGCGGCGGCGCACGGCGGCGGGCACCACTTCGCGCCGCCCGTGGCGCCGTTCCACCACCCGTTCGGTGGCTTAGGCGGGCACCACCACCTGTTCCTGGGGCAGCAGCACCCGGCGTTCCAGCATTTCCAGGAGCAGCAGCGCCAGCTGGAGCTGATGGGCGGTGGGGGCGGTGTCCCCGGCGTGAACAAACAGGAGCTCGCTGACGACAGCAACAACACCATGAACAGCGCCGGGAGCAACGGGAGCGGCGACGGCGACCAGCACCAGCACCAGCAGCAGGCGGGGGGCGACGGCGACCAGCAGCACCAGCACCAGCAACAGCAGCACCCGCTGGTGATGCGCCGCCCGCGTGGCCGCCCCGCGGGGTCCAAGAACAAGCCGAAGCCGCCCGTGATCATCACGCGGGACAGCGCCAGCGCGCTGCGCGCCCACGTGCTGGAGGTCGCCGCCGGCTGCGACGTCGTCGACAGCGTGGCCGGGTTCGCGCGCCGCCGCCAGGTGGGCGTGTGCGTGCTCAGCGGCGCCGGGAGCGTCGCCAACGTGTGCATCCGTCAGCCCGGTGGCGGCCCCGGCACCGTCGTCACCCTCGCTGGCCGCTTCGACATCCTCTCCCTCAGCGGCTCCTTCCTCCCGCCGCCGGCGCCGCCAGCTGCGACGGGGCTCACCGTCTACCTCTCCGGCGGGCAGGGCCAGGTGGTGGGCGGCACGGTCGCCGGCCCGCTCCTCGCCTCCGGCCCCGTCGTGATCGTCGCCGCCTGCTTCGGCAACGCCGCCTACGAGCGCCTCCCGCTCGACGACGATGAGCCGCCGCCGCAGCAGCACCTGCAACAGCCTCTTCCTCCTCCGCAGGGCATGCCCGGAGCCTCCTCCTCGTCGCCGCCCCCGCCGCTGCCATTGCCCGGACAACACCCGCTCGCTGACCAGCTCCCCCACAGCCTCATGAACGGCCTCCCTCTCCCCGCCGACGCCTACGGCTGGGCCAACCCCGGAGGCAGCGGCGCCGGCCGCGTCGCCCCGTACTGATGATCGATCACCGTACCGGACTTGATCCGGACATGGAAGGGGATCGAACAAGCGCGCGCGTGCTCTAGCTTGCTGCTTCATCGCCATCGACCGATCGACGACGACGAGGCGGCTGCTGCTAAGAGTCAATCCACCTCCCGATCCCCTTCCCTTTTCGGCTTCTTTCTCTGCTAATTACCTTCTTGAACTCCTTCCCGTGCTGTTAAATTCCCTGGTGTAATGAATCTGCATGCCATGGATGCTTAATTAGTTACCTCCGTAGTAGTATAATTCCCTTCCCCTAGTAGCAGTGCTTGGAACCTGTCAGCAGTCTGCGGTTAAATTTTCTTTCACTTTAATTTCACCTGATGATCGATGACTGCTAGTTACCTTATATTACCTGATGACTTGATGAGCAACTGCGCATGCATCATAGCATTCGCATCCATCTGTGTGTAGCTGTGTAGGAGGGATTAGCAGTGTGGTGTAGTGGCAGCAGAAGCAATTAAGCTTTTTAAAAAATGGTATAATCTGTCTCCATCAGTCCTTAATTGTCTTTGTCTCGGTCGACCTGGAGATCGACCGATTTCTGATGGAGAGCTAGGTCGCTAGGGACGGGGCATCGTTCAAAACCAAACGAGGCCTGCCAGCCTGCGTATTTTATGTGGGGGTGATGGGCGAGTTCGTTGTTGTTTCTCTTGGGTCTGTTTGTTCCGTTCATACCGTGCACTACAGATGTGGCAAGAAAGGCAAGGGGATCGGAGAACGGTCACGGTATCACATGAGCAATGCAACCAACCACTTCACCACCCAGCGGCCAGCACCCAACGAACGAGCCGGTCAGCCGGACGGCGGCGTCCGGCTGGCGCTGAAAGATGATGATGATGTGGCCACGTACAACGTAACAGCTAGTAGCACTCAACCACTTCACAGCATGTATATATGTATATGTGACACACGCACGCGACACGGGGCCTGCTATATTTTATGTTGTCTCGAGTTAGTGTCCACCGGATGGATCGATTGGTTCAACGGAGGGGCTTCGTTCGTCGTCGTCGTCTCAGACCTCTCGCTCGTGTCGTGTGCTCTTATTCTCTTTTTGGGCCATGTGCACCTGATGATGTGGGTGCGTTTCTTCAGTCGTCTCGTAGTTAACCGTACCCGTGATGCTTAGCAGGGACTGGTGTGGGGCCGGATTATATTAATCAGATCAATGAGGTACAAAAAAAACAGTATCAAGTGCGTTCATATTATATATGGCAGAATTATTTTTGGTGCGAAAGCATCACTTCGGCAGCTGTGTTTATGTTGAGTGCAAAAATTTTATCCGAGAGGCCGAAAACAAAACTCCTTTTTCTGCAAAATATATACAGACGCGCGTGCGGCGTGCCCCAATGCAAGTGTGTGTAACAAGGAGATTTTCTGGTCTTTTTTTAGCTCCAACTGGTCATACACTTGATATTTTACCTGCGTATACAGGAACACCCCCCCTCAACAATCCTGGAAACATGTGACCTTTTTATTAAAAAAACAGTTCAGTGTATAACTTCATCCTACTGCATTGGCAACACTTTTATAAAAGCTTAGTTTGACATTTCAGAATCTTGTCAGCCATACATATCCCGAACCTATTAGTTCAACAATTATTCAAACCCTGACAACACAGTTCTTTGGAACTAGCTAGTTCCGCATTTTTTTTAAACAAATGCTCGACAATTTTTGAAAAAAAAATGTAGAATTTTCATTATTTTAGTTGGTGCTCACAAGATAAGAATTTCGTGAACCTTCACTAGTCAGGAAATCTCTAGCTACCTTTTTTTGTCAAAGATCGTGTATGCTAGGGTGGTCCTAGCTCATGGCTATAATCCTGTAGACCTCGTAGGACGCTCGCTAGAAGCACGTTGTTTGTATCAAACTTTTCTACCTGAATTGCAAAGATGTGCAAATCTTTTGCGTATTCGAGAAAAAAGATCGTGTACCAAAGAACACATTTTATTAATTTGACAGTATAATTAACTCATTAATTAGAAAACTATTAATAGATTTATTGGTGTATAGTTTGCATTGGAAATCATTAATTACAAAAATTGGGATAGATCTCTAGCTAGTTTTTGTATGCTTTGAATTGAGTCATTAGTTAGAAAAATCTTTACTAGATCCATTCGTTTATGTTTTGCACTAGAAGAAATTAAACCATCGCGATTGGTGTCCACATTTTAGATTTTTTTCTCTGAGCGTATTTGTTTTAGATTTTTTCTTGTTATCTGATCTACCCACAAGAGTTTTTAAGTTCCGATCTGGCATGGATACTCGCATTTGCCTAGATGGAGTATATTATACAAAGAATACAACGCTTTTAATATTGTGGTAAGCGACATGCCTCTCGATAGCGAGGTTTCTAAGATGACCCCTCAATCAAAGATTTGATGCCTCAGTATCTTATATAGGGGTACAATGTATGTAGATATGTGAATGTGAGCCTGTTTCTTATAACTCTTAAAAATCATCTAGCTTCCTGTCGTTCATAATTAAGTTACCACTCCTCGTGATTATGTGCCTAAAACAAAATATTTTTTCTCTCTAAACAAAACAGTTTATGTTTCCTTTGCAAATTTTTTATATATTATTAGAAAACTCTGGACGGGGACCTTCTGTGATTATGGTATGGCACCGATGCCCAGCAGGAAGCCGGATTGGTTACCACACTCACCGAGACCGGCCATGTGAAGATCCAGGAGAACTTTTGGGGGAACGGTCTTCCAGGTATTTTGGGTTCATGCGTGGCCGCGCGTGGGGATGCAATCGGAGTGAAAAAGAATACAGGGCAACGTATCAGATGTAAACTAATTAATCTACGTAAACTTAGAAACTATCAATCAGGATCACTAGATGCTGATCAAATGGATAGGGTGAGAGGGCTTAAGCGCAAAAAAAAGGCCGGTGGGTGGGGGGCTTAAGCGCAAAAAAAATACCACCTCTCATCCCATTCATTGGAGCAGCATCTAGTGGTCCTGATTGGTAGTTTTCAAGTTTACACAGATTGGTTAGTTTGCACCTGATACGTTGCCAGAATATAGTGTCATCTTAGAAGGAACCGCTTGGTGAACTAGAGGTTCGCATAACGGCATGTATGATGGAGGTGGGTGTGACTTAGTTTAGACTTTAGATACGGTGCTTTATTTTTGGTAAAAAAAAAAGGAAACACTTTCTTTGCACAAGGTATCTATTTAATAAGACACAAGCATATCTTAGTTGGCTAGATTTCCAGTATAGTGGAAAGTGTGGAACCTCTCCATGACTCCCCCTAAGTTGAAGTCCTCAACTACACACGGGATATTATTCTAGGATGTAAGATCTCATCATTTTTAATGGTTGCAAATACACCTTGCTCAACCTAACATACCATCCTATGATTCAACCATTCAACATAACATACCATTTCTTGTTTTGGAGCTAGGGGGAGGGGGTTTCATTGAGATGTGAAACATGAACTCGAGATAAACACGATAATAAGTCTTTGGTCATCTTCATTGTGTATTTTGTAACAACCAACTAACTGAGAAATCCATAATTTTATATTGTAATTTTAGTTTTCAACAAATTGAGTATATACAACTATACACTCTAAAAAGATTGGAAATTTAGAATTAGAAATTAGTGGAGAATTTTAGAAATACCGGCCACAGGGGGTCGCTCCTGTTGCCATGCTCGACTGCTCTGGGACTCAGTCACTTGGGGGTCTATGCGGCTATACACTCATGTCGCCACTACCTCTACATACGGTATCACACATGCATTCTAGTATGCACAGACGTTTGGCAGAGGATTGGGATTTGGGAGTCTCAACTCTAGGACTGGTGGGCGCCTGGGTGAGAAAACGGCGGTCGGCGGCCGTGGCCTAGCAGGTCGGCGCCTCAGCTGATGATAGTGCAACTGAATAAGGCAGCGGGCGACGGCGTAGCCAAAGGGACCAACAAGCGGTGTGGGCGCCTGGCGGGGGCTATGGGCGGCAGCGCAACTCATGAGCGAGAGTTAGCAAGACTCGAGAGAACGATGCATTTGCTGGTTGGTTCCTTAATTTGTGTCAAAAAATGTCTAGGATATACCTAGGCTATCTGGACCACAACTAGTGTCTTACATGGCTAGGCTATCTGAAACAAAAAAAAAGTAACCTTACTTATTGACAATGCATTTGTAACTTGAATGTAACATACCACAAGTACTAGGTAGTTTAGGTAACTTCTTACGGGTCTTCAATTCATGAAAATGATATAAGATGTCACCATTTTAATGGTTGCAAATACACATCGCTTAACGTAACATACTACGATTCAACCATTCAACCTAACATACCATTTCTTGTTCTAGAGCTAGTGGGGGAGGGGAGAGGAGGTCATTGAGTTGTGAAACAGGAACTCAAGAGAAACACGATGCTAAGTCTTGGTTCTCTTTGTCATGTATTTTGAACCAACTAACAGAGAAATATGTAATTTTAGATTATAATTTTAGATTTCAATACAATTGATATATAGAACTATACACTCTAAAAAGGTTGGAAACTTGGAATTAGAAATTAGTAGAGAATTAAAGAAATACTGCCCAGACGGGGCTGCTTTGCTACCCTGCTCGATTGCTCAGGGACTCGATCACTCGGGGTCCATGAGGTCATACGCCCATGCCGCCGCTACCTCTACATACGATATCACACATGCATTCCAGTATGCACAGCAGTCGGCAGAGGATTGGGATTTGGGGGTCTCAACTCTAGGACTGGTGGGTGCATAGGTGGGAAAACAACGATCGGTGGGTGTGGCCTAGCGAGTCGGCGCCTCAGCGGGTGACAGTGTGGCCGAGCAGGGCGGCGGGTGACGGCGCGACCGAGGGGTCCAGCAAGCGGCGTGGCCAAACGACATGGGCGCCTAGCTAGGGGCTATGGGCAGCGGCGCGACTCACGAGTGAGAGTGAGCGTGACTGCGAGAGGTCGATGCATTTGCTGGTTCATTCCTTTTGGGTAAAAAAGA